TCCATGGGACACCGATTTAAAGTAGCACTGTCCGTGCGGGCGAGGAGGTTTGCGTACTTCGATGAAGCTGAGGGCTATGACAGGGGTAGCATTGCTAGTAGGCTACCGGTAGGGTCACCCATGCTGTACAGACCTCAGTGGAGGAGTCAGACGAAGGGTGTTCCACAACGTCCTACTCTACCTTGTCCTATACCTTATCCTGTTATCCATATTTGATCTATATCCATTTCCTAGAATTTACTCCCCACAATTCACACTGGTGTATCGTGAGGTCCTTTCCACCTATTGCTTCTACTTACTCGCGTCACACTTCTTTTATACTTTATCTCTCTCTTGATATCCTCTTGTTTGTTTCGGCCCCGAAGTGATTGTGTTGCGAAAGCCCAGGGAGCCTTTCATTTCTCCATCTTCTTTCTTTTACTATCATATGTGTCCTTCTTTTCCTTCTTTGTCAACGGGGAGAGAGGTTGGGGGTTAAGCGTATGGACCAGCAACCCTACCTTGTAGAAACCGAAACGCTACGTTAGCTGGAATCAATACAGCCTCGGGAACCATAAATGGACATCGACAATGGCTACGAAGACGGACTTTTTCTTTTGGAACATGGAATGTGCAGAGCCTTTCAGGGAAACTGGAGGAGATTGTTGAGGACATTAAAGATAAGGGATTGGAAGTGGTTGTTCTTACGGAAACGAAAAAGAAAGGGAAAGGACAAGAGGAAATTAAGGGATATTTACATCTATGGAGCGGAGTAGAAAAGGGAAGAATCGCTCTTTCAACTCATAAAGAAAATGTATGTGGATACCCGAGCCGTGGTAAAAATCGGAAATAGAATTTCTGAGGAATTTAAAATTACTAAAGGTTTAAGGAAGGGAGATGTGGAATGTCTCCTACTCTTTTTAAAATTTATTTAGAAGAGGTCCTTAAAGGTTGGAATGCTTCATGTCAAGGAATGGGCGTTGTTGTAAACGGACAAGCAATACATTCCCTACTATTTGCGGATGATCTGATAATAATGGCTCAAGATAGAGATGATGCAGAATATATGACCCGGAAAATAGTAGAGGCGTATGTACAGGCTATGTATGGGCTTAAATTAAATCTGAAAAAAAAAAAAAAAAACCCAGAGAATTTGATAGGAGGAGAAGATACCGATTTGGAAGTACAAGGAGTAGGAAGGATTAAGTTAGTTGAACAGTTCAAATATTTGGGTACAATCCTGCATATGTCTGGAAATTGTGAAAAGGATATTGATGACCGCATTAAACAGGCAAGAGGAGCTGTAAGAATGCTGAATAGGGTACTATGGAGTCGGGAAATTCATGTAGGAACAATAGAGGTTATTGTACGAACTATTATTGAAAGTATTCTAACTTATGGTGGAGAGAGTTGGGTCTTGACGGAATGCCAGAAACAGAAATTATGTTCAGTAGAAATGGATGGATTAAGAAGGAGCTGCCGAAACGGATGCAGCAATCGGAATCGGTGGTGGACAGATTGTGCTACAATGGTATGGCCACTTGAGAAGAATGTCAGATACAAGGTGGCCCAAGAATGTCCTCGACTGGTCTCCTGCAGGAAGGCCTCGCAAAACCTGGAATACCGGAATAATGGAAGCCATGCATGAAAGAAGAATGTACGAAGACCTTTGGTCAGATAGAGAAGGCTGGAACCGCAAAATAAGACGCAACCGCTGACAAGTGGAAACGCCGATAAAAGTAAAAGTAAGTACAATATTGTCTAGAAGCTTGAAGGAAAAGTTATATTACTTAAGATGTTTAACTGCTACATACACAACTCCCTTGGAGAAGAAAATTTGAACTGCTTCCAGCCAAGTCCATGAACCGCGGAGGCCAGTTTATGAAATCAGTGGAGTTGAGGCTTGTATACCAGATGGGTTTGCGGATTCGCATCAGTCACATGATTTGTAAGCCCATGCCTTCAGTAGACAACTTTCTCGAAGTTCATTGGCCTTGCAACAGAATAGAACATGGGGAACGGATGTGACTCTCTTATACAAAACTAGTGTTACAAAACCATGTACTGTAACTGATACAATGGTCTGAAGTGCCTAAAGAAGGAACAATATACTTTTGCATACAGAACATGAGAAACATTTACTGTAAAGATTAGAAATCATAAAACCAACCCAATAACAAATGGATGCAACGCGCCACTCGCATCTATTGACGCTACACCACTAGAATTGACCATACTTATTAATGCCGCAAAAGGTGACAATGGTAAATTAAAGTGCATCGCTGGTCCTTGTCACCCTAACGTATCACCTGATACAGGTAATAAAGAAACTGACTGTGTAAGTTAGTCTTCTTCTTTTTCTTCTGCTGCCTTGTCCCATCGTTTGTCAACTGCTCGTCTGCTCTCTTCACGAGACAAAAATAAAATTTGATGCAAGGAGTTTTCATTGACCAGTGTGATTCTTTTTTTAAAAAAAATTATTCTTCCGCCCTTGAAGATGTAACTCAGATACTGCTGTGAATGAATGTCATAGTTACTCTGCATCCTTTTGTGCTATACTTAAGAGAAAGCAAAGAATTTTTAATATTCTTTTTTTCTTTTCTGGATGCCTGAAACAGGCTACGAATTCAATTCACCCTTTTCATTGTAAACTCATAAGATTATGACAGTCATCATAATCAATGAAAATTTAACAGAAATATTTTTTGGATGTTTCCACAAAGATGTCTTCAATGTGAGTGCTGAATGACATTTCTTCACTTCGCAACGTCTTATAGAGGGACCTTGCGATGTAGTGACTAGAAATAGAAGACACAAAGAAAATTTTCATTTCTTTATGAAAAGGTGAATTAACGATATTTTCTGTAAAGTTCTCTAAAAGAAATATCAATTTAATTAACATTATCTTATTCGTATAAATATTCCACGTGTTTAATACTAAAATTAATCCATTTGATACATTTTAATATGAATTTAATCGACTATGAAGGTCATATGTATGTATCTGGCACATAGTAAGTAGTAAAGGGATACTTCTATTTATTGCTCAGTGAAAGTATTTTGATGGTAATTGTCTACTGCCATTGGCTGCCAATACTGCTGATTGGCATGTGCTTGAGGGGTGACTCTCTAGCAGACACTGCAGCAAAACAGCAAGTAGATATTTCTATTATATTTTATTTCTCAAAATCATTTCGGTGCCCCACTTTCTAACTTACCAGACTTATTTAAAACTTTTCAGAAATGTCAATGGTATTTTTTTCGAATTTTTGAACTGTTGAGTTTTAGGAGAAATTAAAAAAATAAAAATAGGTCAAAACATTTTCATCAAATGCAAGAGCATCTGTTATTCTTTAATGTCGCAAAATTTTAATCTGTCACAATCACAACATGAGTAAAAAATGATTAACTTTGACAATCTGAGCATTTTTTTCGAAAATTTTGAAAATTAATACAATTGCGAAAAATAGTATGTGGGAAAAAACACTTATTTCATATTTTTGCTAATACTCTTAACAGAAAAGAAGTCTAAAAATCTGGGCCATGAAAGTCAAATCTTCCTTAAATTTGTGGGATTTGACGTGGAATGACCCAAATGCCACATTTCATAAAACTGGTGAATTTCCAAATTACGAATAAAATTTTTTGGAACATCACCAAAGTTAATATTTACATAACAAGTGCATTTTAAAATTAAGTGCATTTGTATCCTTCAGTGATTCGAATGAATTCTGGTTTCTTAGAATCTCAAAAGTTTTTATGTAAATAATCCTTTCTTCTTTGTACATATAAATAGCAGATTCTCTGAGATGGTTATGATAGCATTGACAGCCAAGTCGTTTGCTTATGTGAAGGACAGTACTTCAAATTCCAAAACAAGGAAACTTTTTTACTTTAAATTTTGTCTGAATAGAACAAACTGCACTAAAATAAGTCTGATTCTCATTCAAATATTTGAAATTTAAAAAAATTACAAATTTGAATACCACATACTTTTTTTGCTGAAAAGAGTTTTTCAAGAGACGGCAGAAGAAATAGTAGAATACAAGATGCAGCATTAAATTACATCTGTTACAAATGCTATGAGAAAATATGTGCTGTTTACTTACAGGGAATGTATGTGGCAAGTATACTTCAGTTGTTGTTATCTGTTGCCATACTAACAATTGTAAGGTTTCATAAGTTGTTTTGCCAACTGTGTGCGATTGAGGTGAGGTACAACAAAGGTGACGAATTTGATGAAGACATCAATGGTGCTGGGAACAAAAACTTGTCTCTTAATAACTTGTTTGCAATACACAAAATGTTTAATGTGATACTCCAAGGCTGCAGTCTCCAAGTCACTTTGGAATTATATCAGAAATTATGTTGGACAGACTCGAGACTGTTTTATGTGTTAATCATGTAGGCTGAAGACCAGAGGCTCATCATGAAATTCAACACATAGCAAAGCATCTCTGCATCTTACAAGTCACGAATGTAATTAAACTTTGTATAAATACAATGCATTTACACTTGTGGGTATTCATTGTATATACTTATGAAATTCACTAGTTCTGTTATATGGGCTAAATGAATCCATACATCATTTTAGAATCCATGAGGTGGAACAAAAATGGTTTCAATTCCCAGTAAATAAACGATATCCAACAGTTGATAAAATATGCTACTTGGGTATATCAAACCACATCCATATTACTATACAATATTTAATAAAGTTTAATGAAATTTACAATTAAATGTTACACATTTTTAGAGAAAATATATAAATCATCTCACAATTATATGTATTCTTCTGGATATGAAATGCAGTACTATAGAAGAACTATCAGAAATAATTAACATGTTATGAATGGGCATAATTAAATGTGCAACAGGACAGCCCAAACTATTGAGTAATCACAAGGGAATAAGAAAATTACACTGTAACAGGGAAAGCATTGTTTTCAAAATATTTTATCATTACATTTTGTGTATTCAAAATAAGATAAGCAAATAATCATTGTCAAAAAAATGCTATCCATCTTACTATTGTAGTTCTATGAATTTCAGTCAAAAACCTTTTGAAAAATTATTTGTATTAAATCTACTTGGAGTGGATATCAAATCAAAACTTCCAATTTCTATTCTTTTTAATTGTTAAAAATTATGGCAGTTTATTTTGTGGATTATTTGCTTTTGATTCAATAATACATTTTCTCCTTTTGATACATTTCAAATCAATTTTATTAGAGAACAAACATTGAAAAATTAATTCTTTTAACAGTATTTGTCACAAATTACCAAACTAAATGTTTTGTTCTGAAATAAACAAATCTGTGTGTTGATATTAAGTATTTACAGATAAACTTAGAATGGGTGTATACAAATACTCTCTCTCTCCTAAACTCATATCATATATGCACACTATGTACACAATGTAAGATATAGTAACAATATATTCAGTCTATATTTAGTTTGGTCTCAAAAATTGTGTTATAAAATTTATGAGAATATTGTAACATAATTTTAAGTGCAATCCAATACTGATACATTTTCATGATATAAAATACAAGAACACATTTTCATTCTTACAAATGAAATGATTTGAACAATGTACTCAGCAAAATAACATATCAGTTGTATGTCATAATTAACAAGTACATAATTTTAAAAGAGGGTATTTTAATAACAAGCAAAGTTTTTTTTCATTTCACATAAAATTCTGAAATAAAACACTCACTAGTAAAAAATAAGATAGAATAATATTGAAGAGTACCTACAATGCGAATGTATCAGATCAGATTACATGTAATTTAATAAAAAGGTTCATTTTCAATAAAATATACATCCTAAAATTTAGACTAATATATTCCACTCAGCACAAAACCATCAAACGTGTAGGTGTACTTCTAGAAAAAAGCAGATAAGAAGAACAACTGATCACACAGTCATTATTGATTTTGGCAACTACATGTAATTTCTCTAACAAACAACAGTAGAACAACCAATAGTAAAAAAATATTTATGCCATCACTTTGTAATGGGGAATTAAGAAACATCTCTGCAGAGATAGAGGGGTGAGCTTCAGAACCACATTCTACATTCAATGTGGAAACGAATCAATGACTATGGAAGTACATACTTAATCTATTGGGGTAAAATGTTTACATTTATTCCATATAAAACAATTATTTGTAGATCACAAATAGGTTGGAACACATAATTGCTCACATTGGTGTCTGACATTACAACCATAATAAACATTCTCTCTAAGCAACATATTGTAGTTAAGCAAGGCACTAAACTTCCTCTGTAGTCATCTCAGTTATTGCTATTTTACACATGTTTACAACTTTCTAACAATACACAATTTATAATTACAAGGCATTTTATAAAATTTGATTAAGCAATATAAAAGAATGTGTAGAAAAGTTTATATTAACTCAATCTTGAGTTTAAAACAAAATGTTTTAATATCCATTCAATACCCTTTTGTAAGCAGTGAAAGAAAGTAATACTAATTTATCAAGAGTCAAATGATTTGTCATGGAGCATATTTCAGCTTGATAAGTTTGATACCAAGATGATATTAAAATAAAAAAAGTATAATTCAAAACTAATTTGTAATAATTCTATAACTAGTTTTCAGCAAGCACATTTTCTACGATTTCCTTTGTATATTCATGATTTTCTTGTAGAAAATGGGTACTAAGTCAATTTTCCTACAGTGCACAAACAAAATAACAAAACAAGACAGAGATTTTTATTTTACTAGTTATGAGATGCTTATAGAAAAGGTCAGTTTCATTAGATATGTGTGGAACAGGAGTATTACAGGGAGTCATCAAGTCATAAAAAATCAATGATAGTATTTTAAAATTTTAAGCTCACCCATCCTATTATCTGCAGAAAATGTAACTATTTCATGAGCACCTTTCAACATTCTCATCCTTACAATCATTCTCTTCAGTCTCAAATAAATTTTAGTGATGCTGTATTGAAGACAAAAAAACATTTTTTTAGTATCTTGAAGGTAAAGATTGAAGAACATATTTTTCCATAATGTGTTCATCAGCATCTTACAGAAAAAAATTAAAATCAAACACCAAATTTGTTGTATCAATTTACAGAATACTCCATATTTTTCACAAATATTCAATATGAAAGATAATTAAATTATCAGGTCCTGCATTACTCTTACAAATAGATCTAACAGAATACATATATGTGTATTCATTCAATTACCTTAAATGATCAAAGAGTATTCCTCAATAGTACAATCTTTTCTTTTTCTTTTTTTTTTTGTTTGCTCAAATATAAAGTGTATTTTCAAGGTTATACTTACAATGCATTTTTCCTTTGAATTACAAGTAAACAAGCAGTTTGGTTCGCTTTGTACTTTTTTAAAAAATATTCCTCCATATTAACCCAAACTCAAATATGCAATTACAGTTAAAGTCTGAGAGAATATGACAAGAATTACAAAAATGAATAGTTGATAAAGCACCATTTGATGGTGATTGCACATGAAATCCTCTGTAAAAACGTAAACGTCATTGTGAAAATACAAAATACACAATTTTCTGATTGCTAGTAATTTGTGGGGTTCCTTCATATTTGAATGTCTTACAGCATTGAGATTTTCAAATGTTTAAAGCTCTGGCCAACAACTCATTGAAACAACTATCAACATCACTGCATGCGCACTCTAAATATTTCACTGGTATCAACAAGTGCAGGAAACGTCAATGAATTTTGGAACACATCAGTTACACAAAACCACTATGTGCACACATGGGGTACGGAGGGGAGGGGGGACCCAGAAGGAACATTAGGATTTTACTAGCACTGAACACTGCGTTCTGATAGAGAAGACTGTGCAGGTGTAGCTGGCCTTGGGGAACTGGGCCTCCTATATAGTGATGCAGTGGTAATATGACGAATGCCCATTGATGAGCTGGCATTGCTCCAATCACAGGTGGGGACAGAAGCTCGGTAGAAACGTGTAGATGTTTTATTGAAGATGGGCAGAAGTTCATTGGCTTCATTTGATAATGCCTATAAAACAAATACAGTACACTAATATTGCAAGTAAAACATATTTGAAAATTACTTGTAAATTTATTATTTTAATCAACAAATTGTTGATGTATTTCCCTATCTTTCATTCTAATACACCTAATAATTAACTATCCATTAAAAACACATTTACAATTGCTTTTTTCTGTATAAAACTTACAACCCAAAATAAGACATGTGTTCTGTAATGCTCAAATTTAAAATTAACTGATTTCAAAATAATACAGAAATTAACAATGCTACTTAGTTCTATACACACATAATTAAAATATATTCATTCTGTAGAAGTGAACTAGAATTATAAAATCTTGTTGTTTGTTATACATACCTTCATGTATATTATCGTGTCTGTACCATAGCCATCACAAGATAATAAGTTCAGGTCCCCATGGAAATAGCGAGCATAAAGCCTAGAAATAGGCAGTCCATAACCATAACCTGTGCACATAACATTACATTTTACTCTGAAATGTAATTATAAATATTAATTATAAAACAAAAGCAATAACTCCAGTAAATAATTTTCTGGGCTAGGTATGAAGTCCAAAAACAGCAGGAAAAGAAAAAGTAGATAAAAATAACTAATAATTTGTTATAAACTACATAAATCTTTTATTATTATTACTACTACTATTACTATTATTATTATTACTACTACTATTATCATTATTACTATTATTATTATTATTATTATTATTATTATTATTATTATTATTATTATTATTATTATTAAGTATAATTTAGAAACACTAACAGAGTAAGTCTCTCTCTTTCAGTGTACTGCATCCAGAATGAGATATCCCAGAACTTTGAGGATATACCACTGCATAATCTAGAGAGATGTATACTTCAGTTTATAGTATCCTTGCAGTTTTTGACCTTCTCTCTTGTGAAGCAGGAACTAACATGCAATCAATGTCATGTATTTTAAAAGTGCTGGATGATGAAATGAAAGTGAAATTATTTTACATTTGTTCATACATAGGCCAACTGTAATTTGTAAAGACATGCCCAGCACATTCTAGCTGCAGATTCGGACAAAAATTCTTGCGGTTGTTTCAGTTACATTAAAATAACATACTATGTTTCATTCACCTGTTATTCAATTTAAATAATACTGAAAATATATTTTATGTATCTTAGAAGGGTGCGTAATTAATCTATTAAGCTTTAGATGCTTTAATTTGAAGAGCAGACAATTACACAAAATTTTAGTGCTCATGAGAGTGTGTGACAAATTTGGAAAACTCTAGAAATATTTGTCTCATGATTTACTTCCCTAAGGAACATTACAAGAATACTCAGATGACAGAAAACACAATAAATATTGTTTCTCCACATTAAATTTATATCTGGACAAATATTCTTTAATATTTTCTTTATTTGTGAGAGAAGTAATACAAGTTTTCACATATGATAACTACCACATGTTCAACTGACACGTCACTATATCCTACTAATATGTTGTAGCAGTGTTTTTTTTTATTGAAGGGAATTGTACACAGTGCCACAAAACCAAAAGTCTGTAATTCCATACACATTAATTTTCAGCCGCGCTGATGGACAAAGTTCACACTTAAAAAGTAATTGGGCATGGAAGGGAAAGAAAAAGTCTCCTCTTTGAAGTGAACTTTTTCCATGTTCTTTTTTAATTTGAACATGAGCCAAAAAGGCAATATCAACATTGTAATATCCTCACCTGCTAAGGGAACGGTGTGAGAATCTTCAGATTTCGGGGGTTGGGGTGCCGTGGAGTACATGTAATTGAAAAGTTGGTCAGTCTGGCTCCTTGGAATACCACCGCCTCGATCAGACATCTGCAAGATCAAATTATGACACAAATGAGTGGGTTATCAGAAGAATTGACACACTGTCATCCAAGCAAGATGTGAAAGACTTTCATATACTTTATTTATACTATTACATTTATTAACTTTCAATGCAAAATTAGTTCATTGAATATTTGCAGTAACCAAGTGGCATAATTGTGTCACACAAGATTTATATCTTTAGTGCCATTTGGGCATCTAAACTCTCCCTCAGTCTTTATGTTGCCTTGAACCTGTGGTTTACAAGTCAACTATAATCAGCTACTAGTATTTGTCAAAACCCGCTCAATTTGAAAATCCCGTAATCCAGTAAAACATTTACTTCTTGGCCTCCACTTCTGGCCATTTTGTGTTGACACATAATTAATATACATTAATGTATTAAAATATTACCTAATATTATTCTGAAGCACAATGCAATATAGTGGAGGATCCAAGAGAACCCGTAAGGGTCTTGCCCCCACCCCAAGTTGTTGTTTTGTTGAATTTATTCAGAATGATTCAGAGCACACAGGATTGAGACGATTTCACCTAAAACTTACTATAATTTGTTTCAGGTAGAAATGCAGTACAATCATTCTCTCAATTGTATTATATTTCAAGAATTAGAGTTGTCGACAAGTGCCAACTTCAGCGAAACTAGGATCAGTTGTTCATCACAATTTAGACCCCCTCAGGGAACAGGGAATGTTTTGTCAATAAGTGGCTAGACACCATGGGATGCTTGATTTAGATGGATGAACCTTGTTTTGTTTCTTGTGACACAAGTTAGTGTAAATAATCCTATTTTTGCGACGTCTGACAGACCCCTTAATGTTCATAAATCTTATACATTTTTGTATGAAAAGTTTTTTCTAGCAATAAGTGCAGTGTTTAGTTAGTTTTCTTCTGTTATTTATGGAAAAAGATTCTCGGTTATTACTAGAAACTTTTCGGTTGTCCACAGTTTAGTGGCGCAACGGGACACGTGCGGGTGGGGTAAGTGGATGTAGCATAATCTGATGTTTACTTTCTCGCTACGGAGTAGAGAGAAAGTTATGTAATGCTATGCGAAAAACTGCGAATTTTCGACAGAAAAACTCTTATTACAGGATCCTTGTAACGAAATAGGGGATAAATCCAGTTTCTAAATTTAGAAAAAAAATGTTCTCCAACACGTGATGTATCCAGAATCCATGTTTTGTGGGTCCTTCATACCGAAAAAACGAATGACGGCAAAACCTCTGTCCGTTCGTCCGTCAACAACCCTAGCGGCGAAACCGTTCAGCTGATTTTCTTCAAAACTGATATTCCGCAATCGATTTAGGTGATGTCACGGCTCCTTGGATTTGAAGCCGATGTCATAATGTTGAGGGGTACTTTACATGAAGCCCCCGAGACATTTTCAATTTTTTTTTTTTTTTAATGGTTCGATCGTTTTTGTTAAAGTTGTACAGTGTGAAGAACGTTTAAAAAACATAGCAGGTCTCATGCTTGTTGAAAACGGATTTTTCGAAAATTGCAAAAGTCCGAAATTTTTATGGAGTCTTCCTACAACTAAATATATTAAAAATAGAGATTCCCTCTCCAATCAAATATCTTCTTTAAAGATAAATTTTGGGATAAGGTCATATAAAATTTTGCGAAAATTTGAGTACTTTTCGTGTAATTTTGCCTGAAAATACGGGCGAGAAAGTACGTGCTGTTTTAGCACCACTAGTTTTTCATTTCCTCTCCAGCACAATTTGCTCAGCTTACCCCTTTCTTCAACGGCACGTTCCAATTATCCGCAGAACATATTGCTCAAGAGGAGATCCCGAAATTAAGAGGTCTATCTCGGCACATCTTCAAATTGACCATGGTAGCATGCTTGCTTCGCCATGGCAATGGCGAAGTATTTGTGACTCCCTAATAAATTGGGCAAATATGAACTTGGCCCCTCTGACGTCTTTGTGGCATCATAGCAAGAACATAATGAAATGCACCTCCCTCATGACAGGTGACCGAAGGTGCGAACTGCGTCATTGCCAGAGCCCCAGCATGCAGACACTAAAAAGATTGAAAATATGCGTGAATGTGGGAACCGTACAAAAATATCTAACTTCTCTATATGGCATTGAGGTTTTAAATTCTGATCGATAGATTGATTATTTTGAATTTCTTCTGAATTTTCTAATGATCTGTTAAGGTAATTAGTCCCTTAAGTTAATGAATGTTATATCCCTGGAGGTGATGGTATTCGTCCAGGCAACTCCGCTAACGGGGTTCCGCGCCCCCAATAATAACAAGCAGCCGACTGTTCCACTGATCAGAGGAGTCGGCCGCTAGAATTCTCCTCCTGACAACGGCTGAACTCCACCTAATTATGTGGCTAGTGTCGAAAATTCGGCACCGTCGGGACTAGAACCCTGGGACCTCCCGGTCAACGGCGTTGCAGAGGCAAGTGTTGTTGTCCTCGGCCATCTCAGCCGTATTAAATATTATAATGTATGAACAATTAATGTATAAAGAATAAGCAATGTAGACAACTTACTCTTACATATGAGCGGTTTTAATTTAAAGTGTAAATATTTCAGTGAAATCGGTCGAGTAGTTTTTGTGTATATGTATGACAGACATATGCACATTCCTTTTTATTTATATATTATTTATAGATAGATTTGCTCGAATAAATATTTATCTTTTTACATTTTAAATATCTGTGGTACTCACTGCAAAGCAAACTAGAGACATTCTTGAATTCAAGCTGATATAGCAGGTAAAACACCACTGAAGTGATGTCAAATATCATTTTTGGAAGCTGTCAAATATCTTTAGCTGGAAGTTGTTGCGATATTGCATTTGTAGGGGGCGATGGTCTGCAACCGCAGCTGCAGTTCTTGGAAATAAAGAACTTCAATTCTTTCAAGTTGGATAAGTTAATAAGATAATACTAACCGGAGGATATTAAGATAACAATCACGATTTTCTAATCAACTCTGAAAAGTGTTAAATTAATTACAAAAATAAAATAATAGATTAAAAATTGTTTTCAATTTAAAAATACCATAAGTAGCCATTTATCATAAAGCAATAATTCATACCCTTCTCCTTGGCAAAATACGTCTCGGATAAACAGTTTAAAATAATCCAGAAGGGATTATAAAGAAATTGAGTAATTTGATACAAAGAAATAAGACAAACCAAATATCCCTAACTCATAATAAGTATAATCCACCCACGTTTTCTTAAAATCTTGTTTCACTAGATACGAGAGGAGTGGGAGGGTTGGTTAATTCAACGTCATTACTATAAAATCAAGGCTGAAGCTCATTCTGGAGGATTCTAGGGCACGAGTGCGAACATTTCTCCTAATCCAATGTCAACAAAGCGCGTTGCTACCTATATTACTCATTTCCAATGCGAAATCGAAATACAAACAGCATAGAGCTGTAAATATGCAACACCACAGAACGCAGAATATACAACCAGCACCATCATACAACACGTTGTACAATATGTTGTACCAGTTGATGGACACACTTTCCACGGAGAGAAGGACATAATGAAATTCACGTTGCATTCCGTGGAGAAAAGGACGTAAATATAGATGTAGTTGATCTACGGATGTTGGCGGTTGTTACGAAGGCGAGATACTCCAAGTTGTCATGTTTATTTATACAAAGAAATGTTATGATATCGGGGACTCGAAATAGTTGAAATAAGCACAGTATCCTTCGTACATCATATGTCCAGGTTGCATTTCCCAATAAAGAAAGAGAACATTTTGTCCTTTCTTCTAAAATCCATCCGGACAGTTTTTCTTACTTCAAAAAGAGGACGTATGGTAACCCTACAATGCGGGAAGAAATTGAAAGAAAGCTATTCAGCTTCCAGTCATATGAGAGATGTATGTTTTCATTAGATACACTGGAACTCAGAGAATATCTAAACCAATGAAACAGATTTGGTTTGGACTGAAAATTCAAATATTTGATTGCGATATTCCGCCTATTCTCACACTTCGATTACCTACTAAATTCTCACGTTCACTGTGCCACTGCTTACAACACAGCTGGCGTCATGCGATAGCAAGTTTCCAAGAAAAAGGCCGACCGCCGTTAATTATTTGCTATTCATCAGTTGCGTTATGGAACAGCAGCTTTTTAGAATTTCTTAGTATGTAAATAACTGTTGTAAATGTGGTGTACCCAGTGAAGGATGACCCAAAGTGCAAATCCTAGGAGACACGTCAAACCATCCAACTCCTGCATCGGCCCCATACACAATAATCCCACAATGCATCAGTGGTCTATTATTATTAGATGGCAAGTCAGTAACCCGTCAAAGGTATGAAAGGCAGTTTGCACTGGGAGAATCATTCGTGTGTACTCCAAGATTTTGACGTGATCAGGGTTCGGATCTTTTATTGTTGAGGGAACTGCCGGTTGGGGCGGGGGGGGGGGGAGGTGGGTCAAATTTCGGAGCTATTCATAAAACGAACAAATATAAATAAATAAATATTCATTTGTATAATGTTTGTAATAATACTTGTTCTGGCAATAATACATGGGTTTTCAATTGTGTTAATTATTTAATTGATCATTATTGAATATTATTAATTAGATTAGTTGAACACAGAGATTTGATCCTCATTGTTATTTGAAAGGTCCGAATTGTAAATTCAACGATCCATTTTTCTCAATGAATCATACATCGAAATATCGAAAATGTTCATTATTTATTATGATCACAAATGTTTGTACTTAATTGTAGGATACATATTTTAAAATCTTCATTAATTAATTATTTTAATTAAAATGCAATCTTCTGTTTTTGGCAAGATCCAAAGTATTCATAGTTTTATTCATAGAAAAGAAGAACAATTGAACCCTCACTTTTATTTCGACTTTAAAAAAATTAATTAAATGCTTTTTTAAAAACATATATAACTTAATCTTCAACTTTTGTGTAAACTTTATAAAAAATATGACCTTTTTCAACTGTTCAGAAAATTAATAATTCAAAATAAATCGTGTTTGAAAAACTAGTGGTGCAACAGAATGGCACAGACTTTCTCATATTAGTTTGTTTGTTTGTGGTTTTTTTTTTTTTTTTTTTTTTTTTTTTTTTTTTTTTTTGGACTGGGTTAGCTATTCGGATTTGCCACATACTCTTGCCAGCTTCCATCTCTCGCCACCCAAAGTATATTTTTTTCTGAATTTTTCAGTTTCCTCATAGAACCAAAATATTACGTTAAGAATATTAAAGAAGAGTAGAACCTAGTTCTAAATGGCAATTTTCATTGAAAAATGTGGAGCCATTTTTAAGAAAATGACATTTAAGAGTTACTGTAAATGCGAAATTAGAAGCCCTTTTCGACAGAAACTTTGAGTTTTCACAAAACTTCATTGGAAGTCGTTTAAAGCAACAACTCAGAAATGCAATAGTGTTTACGAATTGCTGAAAATGTGCTTATTAATGGCCTGAGAGGTATTTAAAAAAATACATTTCTGTAATTTTTGGGAAAAAATCATAAGAATATCCCCAAATTAACTTTATGTTATATTAAAGAGTGTATTGAGCACTATCTGTACAAGAAATTTGGATATATTCAAAAACTGAAAAGATTTCTGTGAAAAAGAGCTTTAAATTTCGCATTTTCAGTAACGCTTAAACACCATTATCTCAAAAACGGCACTGAATTTCTCGCCAAAAATTTTCTTATATGACAAGGTTTTACTCTTCTTAATATTCTTGAAGTAATATTTCGGTTCTACCATAGGGAATCGGAAAATTAAGAATTTAAAAAAATGTACTTTGTGTGGCGATAGAATATAGCTGGCAAGAGCATGGGACTAGAATGTAAGTTTGCCCAGACCAACCAAAACTAACTAGAACGAGAAAGTCTGTGCCATTATGTAGCATCACTGGTTATTTTCTCTTATACGTACGTATATGCCGAATCATATACGAAATAAGAATGCTGTGTAATGCTGTGGAAAATTTCGAGATTTCAACAGTAATTCACGTTTTGGGGTCCCCTGATCAGAGTTGCCAGATTGAGCGGAATTCCGCTGGAAAACGGCTCTCTCTCGTGGAACAAAAATTTACTTCGCGGAATACCACTCAATGGGCGGTAATGCAACAAAACATTTGCGGGTTTTCAGATTCCGACAAAAGTTAAAAAAAAAAAACAACCACAACGGCCATGAGTTTGATATTTTTAGTTTTTTACCTTATACATGCTTTTTCGCTAATCACTTGTTAATTCGTTCAAATTGACGTCGAGAAGCGAGTAATGTTAGTTTTTAGACCTTTAGTATTGGGTGTGTTCTAAACGTCATAGCGTCTTTACTGTACACAACATGAGTATCATATTTGCTGTTCTCGCAGTTAATTTTAGAACATATCATATAAAATTAGTCATCTTTTGTAAGTACGGTATCACTGCCAGCATATTGTTGCACTGGTTGCAATATTGTTGCACTAGTTTCAAACCAACAAAACACATGTTTGTGCATTTTATCAAGCAGGTGTAATTGCGAACACCAGAATAGGAACCAGAAACACCAGAAACAGAGGACTTGGAAGCGGCTAGAGACGAAACTCTTGGGGAAGTTGTCAGGATACCTGCGGAATTGAACACAACCAATATAACTTTCGTTTAATTTTAGCGATTGTAGCTATTTCAATGCCATACGACAATATGATAAAATGATCTCTTTTGAAAATGATTATTTTATCCCCTAATGTATTCCTCCCATCTGTAGCCATAAGATTGTTCAGATGAAAACCGTTCTCCTGCAAAATGATAAAAAAAAACAACAAAAATAACATAGATTCAACATTTTAAGTCTCCCCGTACGTCACATAGAGTTTTTGTCGATAAATAATCAAATATTTTTGCGGGAGTCACAGCCTGGCGGGAGCCCTGAGAAGGAGTGAGTGTGGGGGGGGAGGGGCACGCACCTTAACGCAGATGTCCTCGCGGCCGCGCACCACCGTCACCTCGATGGGCGGCAGCGCGCTCGCCTCGCCGTAGTGCTCCACCACGGCGCGCATGGCGTTCTTGAACAGCTCGAACAGCATGTGGTAGAGATGCGACGGCACGTACACGATGCGGATGGGCGCGTCGGGCTCCAGCTCTGCGCAGCGGGCACGCAACGCGCAGCCGTCAGCTAGGAGGCCACAGCAATTAGCCATGTTTGCCAAACATCGACTTGTCTTCGAAGCATCGATGTCGTCGAAACAACAATATCTTCGAAGCATCGATGTCGTCGAAACAACAATATCTTCGAAGCATCGACGTCATCGAAGCATCGATGTCGTCGAAACAACAATATCTTCGAAGCATCGATGTCATCGAAGCATCGATGTCATCGAAGCATCGATGTCTTCGAAACAACAATATCTTCCAAGCATCGATGTCGTCGAAGCATCGATGTCGTCGAAGCATCGATGTCATCGAAGCATCAATGTCTTTGAAGCATGTTCGAAACATCGACTTGATTTGTATTTTTAAAAAAATCGAATTTTTACATCAACTAATTGAATCCATGTTTTTTTTAACATCGAGCACAAAAATCGATGTTTCACGTCCATGATGTTTTATTTTTGCATGGTAAAAGTATTAAAACAATTAAAGAAACATTAATTTTCACATATCAGTAAATGCAACATTCACACCAAGTGACCAAGGCTGGAAACTGAAAACGAAGTTTTCATCCAAAAACTTTTTTCTTCTTCTTTTTTCTTTTTCTTTTTCCAATCTGATACTTAATTTCGTTAGTCTTTTTTAAATTTGATTTGTAAATTTTAACTGTAACTTAATAAACATGTCCACGGCGATCTTTAAAAATAGCGATGGATTTTGTAGGATATTATTGGCATCGATGTCTCGAATCATCGATGTTTTGTTGGCGATGTGGCATAGGTTGTGTCAGCAAAAAGTGCGAGCGCAGGCTCAGGGCCAGGCGAGCCTGCACTCCCCATCCCGCTCACGCCTGATGCCTCACGCCTCTCTGCCACTCATACGCACAGTCGCGCTCGGTCACTCATAACTCTTTCACCCTGCCACTCGCAATGAAACTCGCCTGCCACTACAAGCGCTCGCCCACCCTTCTACTCATACACACGTCTTCCACTCGCTCTGCCACTACCAATGCAACTCGCCTGCTACTCATGCTTTCACCGAGTCAGCCAATAATGTACTCACTTCCTCTGCTTTTCATTCACTCAACATGCCACAGTCCCTGCACTCACTTGCCAATCAATTTTCAATTCGCGTGCTCAATCGCCCGATCCTTATGCGTTCACTCCCTCTGTTGCAAGTGCAGTCACGTACTCCCTCACTCGATCACACTGCAAAGCGAAGACCGCTCGAGCTTAAGTCTCAGCCAGCACTCGTCCACAAGAAACGAACACTCAAAACTTGCATTCCAATTCATCAGTCACTTTCATTTTACGGAACTGTCACTTTAAAAAAGCTCCCGCACTACGCCTGGTCCATGATTTAGTTTTGAGAGAACTGACATATGTCCAAAGCGAATCGCGACACTGAGGAATGACAAAGTTTATGGGGCTCCAGGAATGAATGTAATTTTACATACGCCCACAAACACAAGAAATTTGTAACACTCGCCCAGCATATATGCGCCACCTGCGAAATATAGCACCCGATTAGTTTCTAACTAAAATTCTTGGGCAAAATACGAAATTCAATACAATATTCAAAAGAAATAATTAATTTGTGAAGCGCTATACGTAGCCCTAATTTCGCAATATATTGGAGCAGAACTACATGTTTATGACGCATACGGGCGCAGTACCTTCAACAGTGTGCAAAGGACCGCGCTGTGATTCTTCCTTCCTAAATCTGCCTCCACGCCCATCCTTTGTCTGGTGTTGGGCTGATTCTCTTCATTTATACGTTTAATTCCTCATGAAGTTAAGACTCCCGCAATACTACAAGAATGTGAATACAGGTCAAGCCTCAAGCTGGCTTGTAGCGCAATCGGAAATAATACTAATAATCGTTTTAGTCACGTTTAAAGGTGTCCCCAATTAAGGAGCAGCTTCACGCCTCATTGATTCATTATTACCTCGAGATCTCGAAAAGAAAAAGAAAATTCAACAGTTATGTAGCTGTTTTTTATTATGGTGTGCAACAGCGTGGGGTTAGATAGTTCAGTAACAGGAGGCCTGGTGTTGTCCTGATAACCAGTTTCCATAGGATTTTCCCCTCACCCTGAAGCACATTCCGACTTGCTTCATCCTTGTATCATCACCATAATCTATCCAATACATTCATATCATTACAATTATCTATCAGTCATCCATTCCATGCATGTCCATAGGTTGAAATCATACTTGCAACAAAGAGAAACGTGGCGACATGGGCGCAGATGTCAAGAGAGACTTCAAATTGTTTTTAATGGGAGCGAGGAGTTTCAAAACTATAAGAAATATTATAAAAAAATGAATGGTAAAACCTAATTAATACATTACTTTCAATTTATATATTTAATTTATAAACAGTATGAAAATTAAACAATGATAACTTTGTTAAACTATTAACTAGGATTACTTTTTCTATTTGAAATAGTATGAATTACTCTACCACCGTTAAAACAATCAATTTTAAATATTCATTACTTGCTCATTGTACTAAAGTAAATTCATAAATAATATATATTTCTGAATTGTTTTTATAATATTTCAAAGTTTTTAATACTACGGTTCAAAGGGGTAGGTGGTATGGCTCCAAGGGCGCCCTCTTGAGCTGCCCCTGGCGGACGCAAGCGCATGCGCGGTTGGGAGCAGGCAAGGGCGGATCCAGCCGATCTTCTTCTTTTTTT